AGTAGGCATGTCGATGTGGTAAGCATCATGAACTGATTGTTTCTTTCGGCGAGTGAATTGTTCTGGGGATGTCCTGGAAGCGACTGGTCTAGTGGAATCCGGAGTTCCTTGAGTGCTGCTTCAAATTGTGGCGCATCATCCGAGTAAGCGTTGGTGACCTTTCTCTTACCGATATAGTGCTTCATCGCCTGCACCACTTCGTCACTATTGCTTGCTTTCAAAGGATAACCCCATATCACACCAGTGAACCGATCTCGAATCACCAATACATCCTTATCCGGCATGATCCCATCTCTCGCCATCTTCTGAGTGTTCATGAGATCGAAAGTGATAAGGTCACCGAATGCCTTCAATTTCCGTTTGAAAGCTCCCTTGCTAGTCTTGTAGTGCTTCATCTTTGCTCTCACACATGACTTGCAGTATGGGTTCTTGTATCGGTGCGTCATCAGGTGCAATATGGATTTCGCCTCGTTCTTCAGCACTCCTGGTTTTGATAGTCTGGCTTCCCCGTCAACCACATCGACTTCCAATAGTCCCTCTTCATCTTCACCAATGTCACTCTCCTCTCGTTCAGAATCCGCATCACCTCCATGTTCGTCGTCTTCGGCTTCTTCAGGTTGGCCATCGAGATCACGATCGATTCTCGGGTCTTCCCCGTCATATCCCTCTTCAGGAGAATATCCGTCATCACCGTGTTCTTCTGGTTCTCCCTCGTCGCCTACAACGGCTGGATTGATATCAGATTCATCACCCCGATCTCTCTGGTTATCTTTCTTCTTTCTCCTCCGTCTCCGTGGTTTCTTGGGCGGAGGTTCCTCTTGTTGTGTCTCCTGACCTGCTGTGGCCTCGTCTTCATGCCCCACACCTGACAGTATGCGATGAAGTATCGTAGCCAAGCCGTCTGGTCTTGGTAAACATCTCCCGTCATCATCATTCACCTTGATGTAGGGTATGTTGTCATGTACCGATAGCGGAATCTTGTTCGCGTTCTGGTCGATGAGGTATGGCAATTGATTTGCCGGCCATACGAATGAGTACCCTTGTTCCATGCACCGCTTCCCGATGGAGAAGACTGATGGTGTGCTCTCCAACACGTGTGCCTCGGATCTCATGGGTAGTTCGTCCACATTGATGTCCACCATCTCTGATGCACTAGTTACACCATTCGCTGTCATGAAGCTCACGGATTTGGGTCCTTCCTTGGTGGTAAGGCCCATGGCATTGACTTTCTCTCTTGAGATCAAGTCGTGTCCACATCCAGTGTCCATGATGAAGCGTATCGGTGGTCCATCATACCTCTCCACAGCCATGAACATCGTGTCTCCTGGTATCGTGTAGTTGACAGAATCCTTCCTTACTACCTCGCTGGTGTTGAAGTCAGACAGGTCGACGTTCACCTCGATCCCTTCATCTTGAGTGATTTGTATCCATGCCTTGGCAATGTGTTCAGCAGAAAATAGCTCCATCATCTTACCTTTGGCATGTGCTACTCGTGCAGCTATATTGCTCACTCTGAGGGCTCTCAACGACGAAATGAGCTCGGTATCCACCTTCTGTACCTCACTCTTCTTCTTCCTGAGGGGACGGGTGTTTAGCTCGTTACCAGGATCGCAGGGGAACGTGGTCACATTCGCCTGGTCATCGAATCTGACTTTAAAGCGAAGCGCCAACTCACCTCGTCGTACGTTGGGAAGTGCGGGTTGCATGTCCTCGTCATCACTCTCGATGTCTCCGCAAAGCATGAAGGCTGGCGCAGCCGGTTTGGGCTTGGCTTTGCCTTTAGCCTCTTGTTTCGTAGCAGGAGCAGCTTGATGCTGACGTCGACATTTATCCCCGAACTTGCACGATCCTTTCTGCCAATTCCAACAGACCTGATCCTTCATTGGCTTAGGGCTAGTGCTCCTGCCACCAGGACTCTTTGATCTGTCACCCTTGAGGTTATCTGGTTTCTTAGCAGAACTTTTGTGCTTCTCTTGGTGACTAAACTTACATTTGTCTCCTCTAGAACATCCGTTTTTCCCATGGAAGTGGAAAGCGCATCCTATCTTGGACGTGTCTGCCGGAGTCGCTGACCTGCCACGATCCCCCTTTGGGCTCTTCGTGGTTGGCCTTCCACGATCCTGCTTCTTGTCCTTCTTGTGGTGATCCTTCGGATTAGCCTGAGGAAGTACTGGAGCGGCGTCAAGCTTCGGTGGATCGGCCTTGGTACTCTTGGGCTTCGCTTTAGGGTCCTTCTTCTCCGCTGGTGTGGCTTTCACGAGGTTCCCAAAAGCTTTTTCCCTTTCTTTCTTGTTTGTGGTCTCGATTGATTTCCGTATCCACTTCGCCATGATCTCTCGTAGCTTCTGGTAGGTCTTATCCGGATCCTTATCCAACATGTTGTCGTACACGGACAAGTCTAACGCCATAACTTTGGAATCCTTAATCTTATCCCAAAGTAGGTTGCGGAGTGCTTTGTCAGGAAGCATGTCATCCGCATCCATACCTGATATGATCTCATCCCACTGTCCAAGGAATCTGGATAGTTGATTATCCCCAGGGAATTTTAGATCGAATAAGTGCTTGGATGCATACATCACATCAACGTTGTCGGCACTCCGGAAGCTATCGACGATCAACGCTAACATTTCTCGTCCCTTGACCATTCCGGGGGTTGTGCCTCTCGCACGTCTCTGCATCATCTGTCTCACCTTCAGTTGTACGTCATGAGATCTTTCACCTGCTGCGTGGATGATCGTATGTAGGGTGATACCTAGCTTAGCGTCTATGCTAGCGAATCTTGCTTCGCCTGATGTCTCGAGCAGAAATGGGTCATATGGTGATCTGAAGGCATCCGAGAGCCACTGGATCCAGTCTTCCTGTCTTTCGTCGCCCGATGCCGTCACGACTGCCGCTACAACCTGGGATTTCCAAACCTCCAAGTCGTGTATCTTGGGCCATGCAGGGATGTTGATCTTCTCGTGTTCCTTCCGGGATATCTTGGAGCCACCCGAGCTAGAGGATGAGGCAGCACCATGTTCGGTTGCTGCTGCATTCTCTGCACTCATGCGCTCCTCTTCGTACCTCCTCCGGTACTTGTTCCTCTCATCTCTGAGCCGTGCTGCATGCGCTTCGAATTCCATCATGTCCTGTTGGTTCTGCATCATACCCTCGTAGTACTCCATTGCCCCTTTCTCCTCGGACCTTAATGACTTCTCGGTACGTTCAAGTTCCGCTCTAAGCTTGGTCATCATCTCATTCTCCACATTGGGTTCTGATCCCATGTCTGGTGGTTTCAACGTCAGTGCGACCTTCAATTGTGCTTCACTTGCGCTCGATTCGATCAGTTCTTCCTGAAGACGTTTCAGCATCCTCTCTTTCCGTAGAATGTCTTCTTCCAACATGTTCATCTTGACTTCAGCTTTCTTGAGTTCGACGTTGGATGGTTGAGACAGTCGATCGGATCCTTGAATCCTCGCCTGCGTCAACTCCTCGTTCGCCCTCTTCAAGTGCTCCCTGATGGTCATGATGAAATTGTCCTGATTATAAGATCGGTTGCTGAGCTCCTCATTCTCTTCTGATAACCATTTGATCTTGCTTGCATACATTGCTTCCTTCATCTTCATGTCCTCAGCATATTCGTGTTTGTTCCTGGCACTCTGCCTTTGTAGTCCCACTAACTCCTGTCTATACAGATCCCTAATGTTCTCAGCATCTGCGACTGCAGTCATGACCTCGGTTACGGCTCGATCTCTTTGCGCCGATATAGCCTGGATCTCTTCCGTGCCGATGTTCACAACTTGGCTAACCATCTCTGCGCTGTTGCGATCAGCGTACTCCCCTAACTGGGTGAGACGATCCCGCATTGCCACACGATCAGTGTCAATCTGGTATTGCAAATCGTGTGCTGCCGAGAGCAAACAGTCTCTGGATTCTGTAATTTGGGAGATTCTTCGTTGATTTCCATATCCTTCGACATAACATTCTTCGAGGTGTGCCATCACTACTTCGTGGACTTCGGTCTCGTGTTGTATAATCTGGTTCTGTCTCTGCTCACATTCGACCATCCATGCGTTTTGGTGGTTCAACATATGCACTTCGGCAAGTAGTTGCGCACACTTCGCATTCAGGTCTCCATCGGCCCGTGCTAGTTGTAGGTTGTCAGTGCTTGCCCTTGCTCCATCTCCAGCTTCGCTGTCCGACGGCACTGGTACAGTTGACCCATCCTCCAATGCTAGCACTCTCACAGCTCCGGTGTCAGTCCTCCTCCTCGTCTCCCTAGGGCTACGGCCTGATCTTGGTGTTCCCCCCGGTGGTGTCGATTGCGCTGACGGGGAACGACTTCGTGCTCTACCTGTCGCACCTTCTCTCACCACTGTCAGAGTCTCCGCCTCGATCGTACCTGGACTAGAGTTGTGGGATGCACTCATCCGATCTGCGGCCGCAGCAGCTGCTCCAAAAGATGCAGTGCTGGCGTCGGATTGTTCCATCTCCAGTGACTGAGGGTAACTGATCTATCCGATGCGTGTGTGTTTAGATGGTGTTGTGTAAGGCCGCAGCACGTACCTAGCTCAAAGGAGTCTGGATACGGCTGATAACCTGCGAACGGATGAAAAGGTGTGCCCTGGCCCCGTTCTAGCCCTTAGTTCAACATGAAGCTCGCGCGCTAAAGCTCCTTTTTACCTGGTTGGGCACTTGAGCCAAAAGTATATGGCATGTACCTGTATAGCGACTATACTGGGACCCCATCCCTATTGACAATATATACTTATTCCTATATATTGAATTGCGTCTATCACATCCAAGTACGTTTCTTTCAGACTTCGCAAAACAACGCATCCAAGGACGTGAGGGACTGGTGGGTCCGACGCATCTCACATGAGTGACGTCCCAAGCCCTGCCACAACCACCCCATCGCCCCATGGGGGGGCGGTTGCAATCCCAGAAAAACCTGCAACCTGCGGGCCCCCCGGCCGCACCACGGACCAAAAATGGCACCAAACGGTCTTTCGGGCCCCAACCTACCGGTGCTTGGACCCAATCAAAGGTGGCACCCACCGAGAGGGAGGTCGCCTCAGCACCCGTGCCAGCACCGCACTCGTGCAGGCGAAAAAGGCGCACGGGTTTTTTCAAAACGAAGGCTCGGGTGGTGTCGGCTGGCTCGTTTTGCACACACCCATTGGAACCCCCCTCCGAAAAGAAAAAAAGACATGACTTGGAAGCAGCTGTCATACATGTGCCTTACTCATAGCCCTAGTGTGTGTAACTAGACCTTTTTACTATGAGAAACTTTTTTGTGGCACCTCTCCTCCGCATCTGTCGGTTGTTCTGCGGCGAAATGCTTGGAGATCCCACTTCACACTTGGGAAAGTGGCTGCACAAAACAAAAGGTCTTTCAGTTCAATTTGAGTTGGAGTATGTTACGTTGGTGTTTGGAAAACGCGAAAAAGACACCAACATCAGGTGATGTCTTGGTTGAGATCAAGGTGCTGATGGTCAGCTTGTGGGAAGGTGTCCAAATGTGGCATCGATTTGGTGCTCTGAAAGATCGGAGGAAGCTCAGACCAAACTTCATAGAGAGGCTACACAAACCAATTTTCCTCTGGCGTTTGGAGTGAAAGAAAAGTTTTTGTCCCAGCTTTGCGAACCAGCAGGCAGCAGCTGACTGCGAAATTCAATTCGAAAAATCCAACTAGACTATTATATGATGAACAAATGCATACATAATTGCTAATTTTTGTACTATTTATTCTTGTTATATGTTCTCTTTTGCTAAAGCTTCGAATGGAATCCAAATCCAGTTGCCGAATGCAAAGGCAGCTGTTGAGCAGCAGCTGCGGAGAAAGAATGGGAGCAGGAATGGGGGTCCAGGAGCTGGGGAGCAAGACAGAAAGCAACTTCAGAACTGCTAACATGTTGTTGCTAGTGTGAAAACGTGTTGCTAGCCTAAGCGCAAATACTCCTGCCACACAAAAAATGCGCCCAAATTCAACGCGTCGCGTCGACAGAATCCTTTGCAACGGAGACCAACAGCACACCACAGTGCAAAAACTGCGGGCGCGGGGGAATCCGCCCTGCTAGGTACATGCAAAGACCAGGAATTGTTTAGAAAGACTTTCCTTCCTGGTCCAACTGGGCACCGGACTCCTAGCAATCCAACTGAATGCATTCTTGTTGGGAAGATTCCCAGAACTCGAGAACGACGAGCCCATCGTGGGTCAAGCCCAATGTGGTGTACAAATGGGTGTAGGCTTTGGATGTGATGCGAAAGACCTTACCTCTTCAGCTAGGTACGTGCTGTGCGACCAAAGATCCGTCCCTCCCGGTCACAGCGCACGTCGGACGGAGCCAAATTGATGGAGCACAAGGGTATGCGATGAGGTTGGTCTTGTTGATCAACATGTCTACAACAGGACCATGTTTTGTTTGATCCACTGATCTTGCTTGGAATAAGAAAGAGTCACGACTTTCACTCTGTTTTTGGAGGCTCTCCACCCATCTTCATCCAAGAAACACTTGAGATCTGCAACGTGCGCGAAGAGTCCTAGGTGGAGCCACTTCTTCCAGCAACTTTGGGGGCCACATCTGTAGGCTGAAACTACTCCCTGGAAGATTAACATGGAGCCTGAAAACCGCTGGTTTGTAGAGGAAAACAGTCTTTTCCAGGTCCCATTCCCAGGGTCCATGTTAGTTTTCAGGAGTGTAGATGTTGGTTTCGCTTGCGAGAAGTGGAAAACACAGGAGTCACAACTCCTTCGTGACTGACGTCACGAAGTGCTTCTTTTCAAGTCAAAATTACCAAGAATGAGCTTGAAGTTCGAATTTCAGTGTACTCTGCTAGGTGATGTTGAACACATGAATACATGAATGAAACATAATGAAACCATAAATCAATCCATCCATCCATCAATGACCGACTGAGTCACTGAGATGAGGGAGGGAGCGGTCGTGACTCAGTCTGTGTTCTTCGTGTTCTTCTGTGTTTTCTTCTTTTTCCCAGCCAAACCACCAGCAAGAAGAGGCCGTCAAACAGAGCCAAAGGTCTCAGAAGGACCCAACAGGTCGTTCGCCCCGGAATCCGATTCACTACGCTCGAGTCGATCACAGACAGCGGTCACCAGTGGGTCACCGACCGGTTGACCCACCGATGGACCGACCGACTGTAGTGGTCCAGCTTCTTCGCTCCGAACCTCCGGGGGGGTACTGATCACGTCGGTTTTCTCACCTCCCAAAACCCAGATCAAATCCACCTCTCCTCCCACTGACCAGCTCACTCAGGGCTCCGCAGTTTTGGACATGCTCCAAGGGTCATGTGTGCTCACTTCCCAGCAAGCACGTTCTAGTCGGCACCATCCCCGCTTTTTCCAGGTGCTCTTGTTCAACAACTCCTCCTTCCTGCCAGCATGTCGGGGGGCATGGGCGGATGAAAAAGCCTGGGAGAGACTCCCGAGCTGGTACCATGTGCACCGACACTTCCACTTTGCTGCTTTTTGGTGGGTGTCACCAACTGTTCCCAATCCCAATGGTAATAGCAGGCGATCCACGTTTCTTGGGTAGGAGATGGGGCACGAAAGTGCAACTGGAGGAGATCTTCTTACAAATGAGCTCTTGACCTGCCCCTTTGCTCAGCAATCATGGATGTCCCACCTTCGTCCAACAGTGACTAGCCACCCAATCTGATGACAGTCTTCACTGGAGCTTTCTCGACTTGCCGGATACCCCTAAAGTGATCATACTGGGACAAGCACTGCACTGCCATTGTCGAAGTCTAATTCTTTGTCAAGGGCGAAGCTGGAGAGTGCGTTGAAACCTTTTTTGGGAGGTTCAGTGGGCTACAAGAAAGGGGGGTGTTCACTGAAAAAAGAAAGTGGCATGTGCTATGACCTCGCTCAACCAAGCAGCTCGATGTGGCGGATGTTCGGGCACAAAATCACAAAGAAGCTACACTGCTCGATGAAAGCAGGGATGCCTCAGCCCGCGAGTCTGAAGCTTCCAGCGCATTTGAGCCGCTGGAAGCGAGGTCGAAAGTTTGGGATTCAGACCATTAAACAAAAATGTAGTTTAACAGTTGGAAGCCTAGTATTGTATAATCCTTGCAAGTCCAAGACCATTGAAAAAAACAATAGTTTACTGAAATCGGCGGTGGTGTCAAAAACAATGGGATCCCTGACTTCTACAGGGTATTCAAAAGAAATCCATTGCTCCAAGTTTGGTCCTTCATCTACCCTCTCGAGGTTCCCCGAAGCAGGTCCAAGACGACCTCCTTGAAGTGAGGGTCCTTTCTGAGCACTATGAACTCTTCAGAAGGGGGGGTGAAGGCGTACATATTGTCGATTAAGTGCCTCCAAGGCTCTGTTGATGGCCAGGTCCCGATCATTGGAAGAAGAAGTGCATTGTGGGCAAGAGAAGTAGTCATACCAAATGAAAAGCGGCCTCCAAGCGGGTCAGAAATGGCTCTGAACTGTCGGAGATGACCAAGAAACCTTCCTTCTGTCGAAGAGGCTTTTCCATGAGAGAGGACCAAATGGTCTTCCAGTCTGTACCACCCCCGGAAACTCTCAAGCAGGTCCATGAACGAGGCTTTTTCGGACGATCTCTGTCATGTCAACCGAAATCCATGTTGCACTTGTCAGCTTCGAACGACCGAACCGTCTGGGACCGGCTGACGGCCGGCCGAAGAATCGCGTGTCGACACGCCCACTGACCCCCCCATCGAAGTCTCAAGATCTGAATGGATGAGTAGATCGTAGATCAGCTGTAATGGATAAGCTGGCATATACCAGGACCCCATCCAGGGGCTTCTATTGATAGCCCCTAAGGATTGTTAAGGGGTGTCCATGAACCACCCCGACAGTGGGTCCTGGTATGCGTTCTGTGGCGTCCAGTCATCGAAATCTCTGGGTCCTTTGTTTCAAGTTCTTCAACCTCAAGTACCCGGCTCGAGCACCGGTGCCTCGCAAGCAGATCCTTGGCGGAGATCGGCTCGGATGGCATCATGTAAAGCTCCTCGGAGACGGAGACTGAGACGGAGAAGTGAGAAGCTCCTCGGCCTTCATTGACCACTCACCACCTGTGTTTTACTGAGGATTTTGCACTACAAAACCAGGTCGTTCCCATTTCTTGAATGGTCTAAAAAATGAAAATAAAACCCAAGACGGATTTGTGTGTTCAACCCGTCCAAGGGCTTCGTCTGCTCGACGTGTTTGTCCAACGTCTGAGCTCTTGCGCCACAGCTTAGCACAGCAAGCTGTGCCTTACAGCTTGGCATATATCCCATGACCCGGTTCCGGATGATTTACTTCGCTGCCAGGCCGGCGGAAACCACATCTCCATCTCCCAAAACGTCCCGCCGTCACAGCCTGTCACCTCCCGGTGGAACTCGCTGCGGAACGTCGAGGCGCCATACTGAGGTTCGAATGGAACGTCGAAGCTCCGCACCTCAGGTCCACCCGCTCACGTGCCATGTGCCACGGTTAAGGGGGCACCGGCCGCGTCTGGGCACCGCAGAAGCGGCCGGCAGAAAGCCCCTGGCACCCCACACGGCCCTTCGCATCTCCATGTTCATAGCCCAGGGCCCAGAAGGTCCAGGTCTGCAGGTCGTTGAACTAGGTTGAACTCAATGCCCACCTGGACTGAACACCTCCAGAATCCAGCCAAGAGCACCAACCAGAAGACATGAAACCAATTGGTCGGCCCAAAACCACAAGACCTTGGCCCAAGCCACAAGACATTCTTCAAGGACTCCTGCAGCACCTGGCCACGGGCGCCAGGTTGGGACCCAGGCGGATGCGAAGAAAACAGGAAAAAAAAAAAACGTCACGAACCAAAAAGCTAGATCCCTATATAGAAGTCCAGTTCGACTGTTGACCGAAAGACCATTCTTTTGATAGTCGACCTTGACTCCCCGCATTAGAGGAGGGGAAAAAAACCATCCCTGGTCCCTGGCACCTGAATTGGTGATCACCATGTCGAGACATGGATGTGATCTGAATCAACATCAGCTCGCAGATGGTGAGACTCCCGAAAAAGACATCCAACGACCATCGACGGGGCGTGGTACTCCCCCAAACCCACGACCCGAACGAGTTCGGCCCCGAAGGTCTCCAGGGGTCTGGGGGAGTTCTCACCAATCCCGATGGTTTGGGACTGGTCGGACTGTGCAAGTCCGGCCTGCTTCCGGCACCAAAACAACTCCTTCGTCCTCCAAAACAGAACCCTCCGGGGAAAAAGAGAACGTCCTTCCGCTGCCAAAACCACACCGGAAAAACCAGCGGGCGGTCTGACGAAAACCGACAACCATGACGTTGTTGGTGGCGCGTGGCGGGGGTTGGTGGTTTGTGCGTGGTCATCTGTACCGCCTTGAACTGCTCGAAGTGGGGGTCCGGATGCTCAACGCCGGCCCACTGGTGGGACACGAAGATGGCGCTGCCATCCTTCGGATTGAAGGGCACCTGAGTCCGTCAGTGGAGGGCGTCTCTGGAACCAGGAGCGGAGCGCGTTCAGACGTCGTGCAGAGCGAGCGAGAGAGTGAGTTCTGGCGCAGTCAGGGGTCCATGATGGTTCCAAAGGCAGATGGGAAAAAGAAACACATCCCCCAGGAGTCACAAACGGGTGGTGTTTAGTCCCTAAGTGAGTGGATAATAGGCACCCCTTTGTGACTGCTGGCCGGGTCCCCAATCCTCCATCCTCTCAAACATGACTTTCTTTCTACCAGCTTCTTCAGTTCGTGACCGAACTTTGGAAGTTCGCGATGGTGACCGAACTTCCAGGCCGGCCTTTGTGACAAACAAGGGGATCAAGTTCGGTCACTTTGAAGAGGAGGAAGTCGGGGTGCCCCTGTCACATCCACTCACTTACGCTTTGTGACTGCTGGTATACAAGTGTGACTGTTCTTTTCGACCATGTCGAGTTCGCAGCCTTGGGTGTCACCTTCACCCTGGATGCCTCGTCACGGACTTCGACGAAGGAACTGCAGTCGTCCTCGGTGGCGGGAACGGCGGAACTGCAGTTCCTCAGGACCCCGAAGTCTGAAGAAACGGGAAAGCCTGGGGGTTTTGGACCGCCCAAACGCGACCCGAACGAAAGGCCCCGAATCCTGCTGCAGGGGTCTGGAGCGACCCTCACCAAACCCTATGGTTTGGTTCGGGACCCAGCGGGCTGTTTTCACGGAGCGTCTGGGCGCGGCCCGGGCTGTTGGAATGACCCAGGCGCCAAAATGCCATCTTGCTGCAGCTCTTCGTGCGTCTTCAGCGTCGTCATGTCCAGCACACCCTCCAGGGGTACGACCCACATCCTGGGGCCGACTCGTTGCAGAAGAAAAACACAGTGTGAAAACGTGAAATGCTGAGAGTATGCTCAGAGTACCACACCTCTCTCTCTCTCTCTCTTTCTTAACCCTATATATCATACACACACCCTAGAAGTCCAAAGACTATATTTTCACTGACTAAAGTAAAGGAAATTCTTTTTCGGGTCACCTGAAGACCATTCTGTTTATGGTCTTTGACTTGCAGGGCACACACACAAGACACCGGCACACACGCAGCTCTACGGCAGCCTTGTTAGACCGCAAATGTTCTTCGATCCGACATTCACCGCCATCGACCAAAAATGGCACAGGTTCACTCAGAAGTCGAGAGCAACTTGACGACCAAAGCACCTCAAGCTACCTTCCAGTCTTTCTCGCCCAGAACCAAAAAAGTGACATCCCCCCCGGCACAGTCTCCCATGAGTAACCATCACCCACAGATCGTCAGCGCAGGTAAAAAAAGAAGGGGGCACAAGCATCTGAGGAGTGCAACAAAAGTCCGCCCAAGCATCTGGTAGAATTGCTGTGAAATCTGTCGCTGGATCACTTGGATCTGCTGGGCGAAGCGACACAGAGCCTTGGAGGAGCGACACAGAGCAGACGCCTGCTCGGGTGTTCGGGTGGGGCCCGAGCGAGCTTTTACCGCGCTCCGGTCCCGAGTCATTTAACATCACTATACCACCAAATAGATAGAAAAGTAGACCCGCACTAATAGTGTATTGGAAACCGTTTCTATCTGTTTGGGGACCACTATAAGCGGTGGGTTAGGTATTGCCAGGTCAAATGGATCATTGGAAGTCCGGGTCACAGACATGCTGGCCACGGTGTGGTGCACCCAACCAGTTGCCCAAAAAAGGCGAAAAAACGATTGCTGCACCAATCCAGACACTTGGACTTGTAGAATGGTGTTTCGTTTTTTTGGCCTCTCACCTCTGCCATACCTGCATCAACCATCTACGCAGAATGTCTACCTTTTCATCCATCAAACCAGCCAAGTTCGGCAGAAATGCAACAGATCGTTGGGAGATGTAACCTCTGCACCTGGTCCATTGCAAGTCTGTGCGCAAACTTCCCGCGGACTTGGCCCGCAGCCAGGCGACCGTTTCAGGTGCCTCTTCGGAGCAGAAGAACATCGCACCCGCTCGTGGAGCACCACACCGGGGGCCGCCCAAGGCCGGCACCGCTGGGGACGCACGTCTTGCTGTGGCAAAAGGAAAGTGCACGGGGCAATTCAGGAGGTTTTCTGATGGCTTCGTGCGGGGTCCCGAGAAAAGGAGAAGTCTCCACATGAAATCATGGTTGCAGAGGGCAGGAACTTGCATGGAATCGACTGCGCCACCCGTCAAAATTGCTTCGGATAGGACGACTTTGAGACCCATTGATTTTGCGGGTTTTGAACCTCAATGGCATGCAGGGCCAAGTGGCACAAATTGCATGTCTGTAGAGGCTGGTTGAGCGAAAGAAGAAGCCACTTCGGCCATCCCAGGCGTTCGCACGCCATACGAACGGTCAGAAATAGTCTTGTCATTGCGGTACAAGTGAAGAACTACTGCCCAAGTGGGGGTCCAAGTCTTCACAGCACCTCCAGAACACCAGGCCCCCCAACCTTTCCAACCACTTCACTGGATCATCCGCATCATCTCAGCCTGGCAGGGCCACCAACCGATCAACCGACTTCTGCCACCTGCTGCGCAGAAGCTGCAAAAACAATCTTGGCACAGCTCTAGCATGGCACGAATCGAGTGTCAGGCATCTGGCAGCGGAGCATAGCCTGAAGCTCAAAACTCTGGTAGGTTGACCATGTCTGGTAGTCTCTTCTGCTCATTTTCAGTGGTCAGCGAGGGCCCCTGTGCCATGATCTGTCGCGGTCCAAGAGCTTAAGCCCTTAAAGTTTCTCCTTCAAGTGCAAGGTCAAACAACTCGCAGAGCATTTCAGTCCTCCAAGCCTCGCACTCCTGAGTATCCTCCTGCTTGGTCTCCCTGTGTTCCGTTTTTGAGCGCTTTATTTCGCAATCGTTTGAAAGAAAACTTTGAAAGAATACCTGAAAAGCAGAGGACCCCTCAATTCGTGGTGACGGTTTCGCGGTTAGGGTTTCTGCACAAACCTGTTACTGTTCAGACCTGTTCTTTCCTAAAATCCGAGCAGGCCCTCCATGGCGGTGGGACCTTCTCCATCTTCGGGGTCTGGACCCGGTTCCCAAACCCTTCACGTCCGGATTCTTTGGCAAAAAAGAAACAAGTCTTGGGGGACAAGTCCAGGAACCCCAAACATCACGCCTTGCGCCAAAAGGCACTGCTGGTGCTCCACTTCGTTCCCTTGATTTTTCTGAACTGTAGCTAGGCAACCATGTTTGACATAGCCCAGGGCCCCAGGTACTCCTCCGGAAAATTCCGGTGGCCCACCATGAATGAAGGGGTCAGAGGTCAGAACATGGCGGAGAACCCTTGGTTTGGACGAAGGACCATGTCATCACGTCAAGAATCGTCCGTCCGCCCGACCTGACCGAGGCCAACCCGACCCGACGAGGAGAGACCCCCTCGGGAGAACGGGTCGGATTCTCCTCAGATGTGTGATGCGGAGTCCAGAGTCCACTTCGACACACCCTGCAGCTGACCACAAACAAGTGATCCGAACCCGACATACCCGACATTCAATCAGGCAAGTGCCAGGGCGGGTGAGTGCTGAAACACGGCATCCAGATGATCTTGAACGTGATGCACACGTGTCTGTGCAGGCATCCTTGATGATCTGTCGAAACACCTGCGCCGCCCTCCACTGCGTGCATGTCTCAAACTCATCCAAACTGGAGGGAACAAGACTCACCAACAAGAGACTTCGGATCCAAAATGGTCGCGAAAGGAAAATCACTTCAACAACCGCATCTTCAACTCCCAATTCCCGAACCTTCCCTCGTCCCCGCGCCAAATGCACGCGCGCTGCGAGCCTGTGTGCTGAGCTTCACAGCAGATCAGCAGATCGCCATGAGAACTAAGGAACTAGTCACAGTAAACCATGAAGTCTTTTTCCACCTAGAACCAGTGAAGAAATGAGCTGAAGTCGAGTGATGACTGCTATGTCTCCGCGTGAGATCTGCCTGGCACACTCCTGCCTTTGATCAAATCACCCACCCAGACGCTCCTAGACCCTCGTATGGAGGGGTCTGGACCCGAACCAAACCCTATGGTTTGGTTTGGGACCGGTCGGGCTGTGAACGAAAACGGAGCGTCGACGGGCAATCGACCAAACGCCTGCGACTCGGCAACTCTTCTGAAGCCAAGAACCCCATGACCGGGTGGTGCTGTGGTCAGTGCTGCTGTTGCTTCGTTCCCCTCCGCTCCCGAAAAGCGCAGTTGTTCCTAAAGATCCAGGGATCCAGTCGCCGCCACCGGCGCCGACGTGCAGAAACCAAAAGAGTTTCGTGTGGCGCCAGAAGTTTCGATCGAAAAACGTGTGGCCAGGACTCCAGGAGAATGTCCTTCTGAAAGTGCAGATGCTTTCAGATCATCTTTAAATCAGGATGATCGTGGGCGTGGCAACCGAAGCTGACTTCTTCTCACCTGAGAAAGCCTCAGGTCCAAATTCAGAGACCCAAATTCTACCGGATCATCCTGTCGAGGTCTCCAATGGACTACCCTACACTGCTAGACTGGACCTCCAGCCAGGACACCCAGACAGTATGATCCAGGTACAAAGTACCCACCCAAACGCTCATGGACCCTCACATGGAGGGGTCGGACCCGAATCCTCTGGAGGGGTGGGGTCTTAAAACCCTAGGTTTTGAGGGACCAGTCGGGCTGTTTTCACGGAGCGTCTGGGCAGATCATCCCTTTCGGCCCTCCATTCCTCGCTCCAAACGTGTCGAGCAGTGCACGGCCCCACGAGGGACGACCAGTCAGCCTGGGGCGAGTCGACCCGTCGACCGCGACGCGTGCCGGTCCCGGAAGGAGGAGACGGGTGCCCCGAACGTCACATCGCCCCTGCATGAAACAAGCCAAACCACCCCAACTCCTTATGACTGCTGTTGGAGGGTGCTGGTATAGGCATAGGGCTAGGAAGCTTTGCTTCCATATCATGTGGCATGTGGCAAAGCTGTCCTGCGTTCGCATGCGTCGCGCGAGTCACTGCGTTCACAGGCGAACCGTGAGGTGTCAAACCCCTTTGTTCCTTCTCCTCCTGGGTCTCCTCCATACTGCCACATGCGGAGGAAACCGCTCTCAAGACATATCATCCCTAGAAGTCCAAAGACTATATTTTTTCCGACTAAAGTAAAGGAAATTCCTTTTCGGGTCACCTGAAGACCATTCTGTTTATGGTCTTTGACTTGCAGGGATCATATCAATCAGTCTAGACTTCAATGACCCACCTCGATCCATCACAGACTCAGCCCCCAACCCACAGAAACCCATGTCCCATCGGCGACGTAGGGCGTGTAGGACCAGCACGGCTATTGGCCGTCCTTTCTCATCTTTCTCTGAAAACTCTTCAAAAACACCACATAGTCCAAAATCACTGCCGTTCGGGTCTTCCTGTTTCGCCTTCTCCGCCCGTCGCTAACCCCAAACCCTCTTTCTCCGCCTCAAAGCTCGACCTCAGAGGAGCACTCGCAGCGGAGAGGGCTGGTCAGAGAAGTGAGCATTGCGCCCGTGCGGAGCTGTAAAATGCTTTGAGGTTTTGGGGGGGACCAAAAAGTCGATGCCTCTCCTGGTGGCTTCTCTTTGGGGTTTCTCACTTATGTCACATGCACGTGTAGGATCTATATGGTCGATTTGGCCGACACATCGACCGCCTTTCTGCGCAAAAAACGCCAGCCTCGAGCCTCGGACAGAGCAACCCTCTCCCCCACACCGTCCGATCCGGGGGGGTTCCTCCATGTTCCTTCGCAGGTCTCGCATAAAGATCACCCAGATGCTCCGTTTTCGTTCACAGCCCTACTTCCGGTCCCGAAGCAAAGCATAGGGATTGGGGGCTGGGTCGCTCCAGACCCCTGACCCGAGGATGAGAAGGTCCTGAAATAGACCCTGACGTCACTGACGTCCTGGTCCCATGGAAGACGATGTTCCTCTACCAACCAGGGGTTTTGAGGTTCCATGTGAGTCTTCCAGGGTAAGGACTCAGACCAGATCATCCTCCAGGCACGATCAGCTTTGAAGAGCGAAAGGCCGGCTTGACAACATCAATCCATGTAATGGAAGATCATACAAGGACTCAGATCACAAGGGATCGAAGGAATCTGATACTTGTGGTATAGTCTCCTGGATCTTCCAACTGTGCCGTTTTGCCTTGTCATCCATCAAAACCGGACAAGTTCGGCAGAAATTTCTGCAGGCCGTTGGAAGATCGAGCTGATCATACCAGGATTACTTTGGTTTGGCCATTCCATCCATCCGTCTCAAAAGAGTTATCATGTTTTGACCCAGTGTTTCTGGCACTGGGACATCCTGGGACCTTCCAACGACATGCAGAAACGTCTGAGCTTGGCCGGTTTTTCATGGCCGAAAAGGGCAGACGTATGGCAGAGTTGCAGCATCCAGGTATGGCAAATGGGACCCGAGTGGGGACCGGCACACTGCTTATCTCTGAAGTAGTCCTTCAGTGCTCCAAAAACCCAACTGTCCTTGAAACCAAATGCCTTAGGATGTGGTTCACCAAACCTTCTGGTAAAC